TAAAGTTGAAATTTCAAAATTTGTATATAAATGAAATTCCAAAAGTTTTCATACAAATTTTAAAGCTTTTATTAGAACTAAAAATAACTCAAGGTATCCGATTAAGTTTTGGTGTAATAAAGCGCAAGTATTTATGAAGTAGCTAGGACATACCCTTGACTTTTGGATATTTAGCTGACAGTGTTGCCCATTTTCCCCATACAAATATACTTTGAATGGAAGAAAATCCGCGATATCGTCAGCAAATAAAAAACAAAAGTCCACGGTAAGGCCCAGCTAAGTCCTTAAAATGTAAAAGGCTTCGAAACTGCATACTTTAAATTTTTTTGTTCTCAATAAAAAGTTTGAAATTTTCATTAAAATTTGTTGAAATTCGTGCACTTTTTTATAAATTACATACAAAGTATAAAATTTTGACTAAAATGAATGAAACTATGTCAAAATTTTCAAATTTTTTACAAAGTTTGAAGCAGGCCTTATATGGTTTTGTTAGAAAGTGGGCCATACTTTCATAGAAAAAAATAATAAATATTTGAATTCAACAATTTTTATTGAGTTTGAGGACGCTTTTAATGAAAAACTATTGTGGAAAAGCAACAATAAAAAGCAATTGAAAATCTCAATAAAAATTATTGAATGTAATTGTTATAAGGCCATAAAATAACAAAAACAAATAAAAAATAATAAACATAAAATAAATAAAAGAAAAATAACCAAAACTTGTTAAGACGCCAGGTCCCTATTTATTTTCCCGCTCCTGTATATTAGTGTGGGGTTTTCACAAAGTTTGACGGTGCCTAACGAAGGCAAAGAAAAGCGTGAAAAAGGCATTGCTTTTTCAACAGCTACGACATTGATTTCGTATTAAGCAAATATTTGTTTACCAAATTGGCTGTGTGTTTACATACATACATGTGTATGCATATAAGTATATTTGTAGGTATCTATGCTTGCCATTTGCTTCGAAAGCGCTTTTCTATACTGAAACATGTGTTGTTGCTTTTTTTTTTTGTACACTACGAATATTGAGTGGAAAACGATTTTTCTTTTTTCAGAAAAAGTCTAATTTTACTGGGCTATTCAGAATGTAATTAAAACATCATAATTCGTGCGTAAACAAGCCATTGTATATATTTATTACGCGTTTCAGCTTTTGTTAGTGTAATAGCAGCAACATAATATTATATTTGCGGAAAGTAAATGCGCCACAATCCCTTTGGCCTCCCGCAAACGATTCATTACGCAAACAAAAATTAAACAGCACCACAAAATCGAAATTTTATCAAAATTAATTTGGCTAATCGGTTTCGCCAGCTTGTTTGGCTAAATGCAGGTACTAACGTAAATATTTCATTGGCGGCGATAGCTTGTGCACCTATGTGTTGTGTTATGCGTGATGGGGGAAGCTCTGCATCAGTGTTCACATTAAATTATTGCCTACTGGTGCAATTTATACTATAATGGGTCAAGAGTCTTTTTGAATATTGAGTGGACGGCAGATCCCCTCTGCCGAAAAGCGCGTGCGACTATGCGAGGAATCACGTCAATTAATGCGTTTGGCCAACTTTTCCGGGTGTTGAGTGCTTCGAGTTGTTTGCACATTTCGGCGATCTCTGCGCGCAAAAATTGCTCCTTTTTGGCCACGGCAATTGTATGGCTGACGCTTTGCCTTATTTATGTAGATTTGTTTTTGTCGGCAAGATGGCTGATATTGATGAGGAGGCGTTTCTTTTTTCTCTGAAACCCTTTGTGCATTTTTCGTCACTCCGATGTAATTGTAATTATCGAAGAATAAAGTTTTCGGATTTCGCCCGACATTTTTGTAGATATCGCTCTAAATTTTACGTAAGCTGCCGGCGGTGACGTATCGTTAAAATATCGAGACAAAATTCTTGGAGGTCAAGGATGAATGCAAATGAATAAATTCTAAAATCTCCTTACCAATTTAATTTACTTATAATTTCATTTTGATACGCCCTAATTGAAAAGCAATTATTTCGAGTTCGCTAGTGTAGCGAAAGAGGGAAGTCAGAGTTCATTTTGTTAATATCAATAACATTTAAATGGAGAGAGGAAGTTTTGAACTTCCAGCAACGGCGTGATATGATGGTATTATAATTTTACTGACAGGCGGAGAAATTGTTTAAATTTTCCTGTGTTAAAAACAAAAATTATCTATATTAAATTTAAAATTTTCAGGACGAAAAAAAAATGTTTGTATGGTTTTATGACCTCTCTTTATGTTTAAAAAATCATCGCATCCGAATTTGTATTTTCAGAGAAAAAAAATATAAATTCCGTACCATTGTAAAAAAACTCAAATGCTCATAAAAAGTATAAATTTGAAAATGTTACAATGAAATTTACGGAGTGTATTTCAGGAGAGTAGAGCTTGATTTGAGCGAAAAATCACATGGAAATTCCAACGCCAGTAAATTTATGACCCACTTGAGATGGCCTTACCCAGGAGTATATTATAGTGTTGGGAGCAGTGAACCGAATACTTCGGTCCTGCACTCTGCGAAGTGTGTATTGAAGAGAATGACTTAAAATGGTACAATGAAAATAATATTGTACCTATTCTAGTTATACCCATAGTTTTAAGAAAAGTTCGTGCTAGTAAAATGCAATACCGACTTCTTAAATCACTATGTAAAAGTGTGTGCTTATTTTAGGATTCTAAATATTTAAATTCAGATAAATATTTGATGGCAATTTTCACGAGTTCTCTTGTCACACGTTTTAGAGCTTTTCCGTATTTACCTCTCCGCTTTTCCAGTTGCAACTTGCTGCCTTTATTTAACGTTCGCCATTTTTTGGAATTTTCGAGTTACGCCGCAGGTAAACTTGCGCTATTATTACATTTTTTCGCCATTGCAATTCAGTTCGTTTATTTCAAACTTAGAGTGTGGTTGCTTTTTTGATTGCTTGACAATTGAGTGAAATCTCGTTTGAAATTCAATTTATTTATGGAGCTCTATTGTTGTTAATGGTCGAATGCAGTACAATTTCGTTCGCTGTACCGCCGCCCCACATTCTATTTCTCATTTTCATAAGTATTTATGATTATTACAAAAGTTTACGAAAATTAAATAATTGTACGACTTGGAAGATTTTTAAATGATTTATACGAGTACGGAATACAATGATAAAGTAGAACAAGGCCATTCCAGCGAAGACGGCACATCAGGTAAAAAAATAAACTACATAAATTTTGTTTAAATCTGTAAAAACAGTAAAGCAGGTAGGACAATTCTTTAGAAAAAGTTTTTTGAGATTTTAAGATCTAAAAAACTGCTTTAATGAAAATTTATTTGAATATAGTTAGCCAATCTTAAATTTAATTGTACTTTAGCGAAGCCTATTAAATTGTCTATAATCTTCGTCAAAAAAATTTTCCAAATGGATGGGAATATTTTTTGAATAGCGAGGATAACGAAATTTGTTTAAGGAAACATTTGCTCGAATTGATAAAAGACTTGTCTCTTACCGTATTTTCAATGGTCAAAACCTCACTTTCTTAGAAATAGTATAGAATTCTTGAAAATCAATTTTTTTCGATCGGAAAACTCTGTTTCTCTTTAGCAGATTCCCAATAACAATACCCAACTATTTATTTAACCATTTTTTCACAATAACTATATTTTATAGGCCCGCCAATGCCATAAAACGCTGGGGGATTAATAAAAAATCTTTAGTATTAAAAAATTTTTAAGTAAACAATTGGGTATTGTTACTGGATGTCTTCTGAAGAGAACCAGAGTTTTCCGTTCGAAAAATATTGTTTTTCAAAGATTCTATACCATTTCTACGAAAATTTGTTTTTTTCCATATAAAATACATGGAAAATTTTTAGCGCTTTTTCGATGTAGAATTATCCTAGGGAGTGAGAGCATTAAAATTCCGACTTTACTTATTATGGACTACCCTAATGTATGCATTTCCAATATGATGGCTACCGAAGCTCACTATAGCAGAAGTGGTCGAGCATGGCTAGACGAAAATTATCCCAATAAATGCATCGGATGAGGTAGACCAACGCTATGGCTGGCGTGGGCCCAGACTTAATTCCGATGGATTTTTACGCGTGAGGCGACTCCGATCGATAATGTGGATTCCTAAAACAAAAGATACTTGACGCTACTGAAACACCGAGTCAGAATCTAGGAACAAACAAGAACATTGCGAATTTGTATCAAGAACAGGTGCGATCATTTCGAGAACGAACTATTTATTACATATACACTTATTGGGTGTTTTGTCTCGTATTTTATTACCAGGTATTTCGGTGTCGGTAGATTGGCGCTTACACAATATGCTAATATTTGGCCGAGCTTCTCGCCCACTAAGGGGAGTAACCTACAGTTTTACGCTAACTACGACCGGCGAATGTAATTTTTATAACCGCTTTAAGAAAACACTTTTTTATGTTCTTTTTTGATGTTGGTTGGAAATTGGGCTTGAACCGAGGCCTTGCGGACTGCTAAAGAAGTCTTGATCTACATAAAAAATAAATGAGATAAATGTTTTATACATATGTGTTAATACTTACAACAATCTCTTCACAATAAATAAAACTGTTACAGATGTTTAAGTAGTTTAAAGAAAGCTAGAACGACGGTAGTTGATACCTGCACCGGGTATATAAAACTCGGTTTTGCCCCAACTTATACTTATTTACTTGTGTTACTCATTTTAGTGTATATCAAGCCTAAATCAAGAAAATATGTTCCTAATTATTTTCAACTTATATTTTCTTGATAATAATAACTTGTTTGTCTTGTGAAGAAAAAAGTTCTCTCCGTGTATATCGAACTACTTATATCCAAGGACACTCCTCAGTTAAATAACTAAAATTGTGATATAATGTGGAACGATTTTCCGTCACCCCTTGTCAAATTTGGTTTGGAGACACACCACCACACCGCGTTGTGCAATCTGCAGTGTAATTTTTCCTTCTCGGAGAACGAAGTATCTCTTCCATTTATCGGCCTATTCATCTATTTCATTCTATTACACACCGTATACAATGAGTAAGCCATCTTACATGTGCCCAGAAAAGAATTCAGTTGTATACCGATAACGCCACCGGCCATTGGGATGATTGTCTTAAGCGAAAGTTCCATGAAGATGCGCTGGTTCATATAAAACTCGCGCGATTGTCCCAGCCAGCTACATTGAAAGATGACAGATGGCAGCTGCTGGAACTCATAAATCAACTTGCTGCCATAATAGCAACTCGGCAGCAACTCAATGCCCATACTAACAAAGTAAACTGCATAGTAAATGTAGGAAAAAAAGTTGTCCACATAAAAGAGCAAGTAAAACAGCACTATGCACATATTCAACCCGCTTGAAATGAATTGCGCCAATTGTGGCAGCGAAAGTGTGTCCTGCGTCAGGCTGAAAATACTGCAAAGTCGATAAAAATTAATCAGCGACTCTTCTCTTGAAGCCAACACTAACTCACCGCACCAGCTTTTTATGATCTTCAATGCATTCGATCAATGCTTGATTATGCTGCCTCAACGTCTTCTTTTTGTCTGCACCCACTTTGGCTATACGCAACGCCAGCAGGTGCAAATGTCCAGCTATAATGCAGAGGCTCATTGGCGGATAGATGTCATTGGCCAAATTCTGCACGATTTGTATTGAGACACCAGCAATTTGGTACATCACAGCTACGTAGTAAGTGAATGCGTTAGCTTGCCAATTGAATGGCAACCACGCCGGATACATAAGACGACGTTCCTTGCTCAGTAGCGTAGCTGAAATGGCTGCAATATTTGCGCCACTATAGGCGATGGAAAATAATTTCACTATATTCCTTGCAGCCACAGTGAGTTCACAATGGTAGTATTCCCGCTCATCGGCATCCATTACGCGCTTATCCAAATCGGCGAGTAGCGACTGTACAACGCGTATTTGTGGCAATTTACGCCGCAGCAAATAATGTTTCACGCTGCAGACAAAGCAAGTGATGGTAATCGACAGATTTTTAAACAGGTCCGCAGGTGTAGGATTTAGAAAGAGACCCACTATTAGGTGTGCCGGGTTAAAAATTGTCACAAATATATTCAGGAACAAATCGTAGAAGCCACAGAGGTATTTATTGTGTTCTGTTGAGATGCCAAGTGCATGCCAACATGCCCAGAAGAAGCGATATAGACTCACAGTGTCAATGGGTTCAGCGAATTTTGGCGAGTTGACCATTTTCGAGGCGCAATTGAATAAGCTAATAACTAAGGTTGACAAAATAGGCTTTTGAGAAAAGTTAAAGTATATTTGCTTTCGAGTTATTTTCGTTCTGCCTTTTATTGCAAATTATAAATTCGAATGTTTTGCTGTGACACTGTTCAACACATTTTTAATACTAGTTCCAGATAATAACACAAACAACGGCCTCCCTTTTGTTTATAAATTTTTTTTTCTTATCTGGCGCTTCAACCACCTAATTTGGCTGAGCTCAACAAAGCTTCCACTCCATACAACAGCACGGGTGTGATGAGTGGAATATTGAGTTTGGTTTACTATTATTAATTGGTTGACCAGTGTTAGCAACAATAATTAAATCAGGCGTTTTATTTACATCACTTCATTTTGTTTCAGGTATAAAGTAATTAACGTTTACCTAACAGACTATATAATTAAGCCATTAAACCTGAACGCTAATGTATGGGAATTTTTAAATAACGAACAGCTGCAGGGGAAGGCATTATTTAATAAGCCTTGATGGAAGGGGAGCTTAATAGCTTGGCCATGATAATATTTGTGCAAGTATGAATCTCCCTTTCGAGCTGTGTTAGTATGACTAGTATATGTACCTTAATAAAACCACATCACCCCTTTGTCTAGTTCTTTGGCCCGCTATATCCTTCAGTGCGGAGAACTCTGCGAAAATAGTAAGCTAGCTCGAGATCTAGAATGTCAAAAAACTATTGCACATTTTTTACATTAAAATCTCTACTTGCCCTGCCTTGCTATGTAATTTTGTCGCGCTGTCTGAAATAGGATGCGAGTCGCGTTTGGCTCTTTGGCTGAAGCGCGCGTCAAGAACGTTCGAGGATTTTCTTCCGTCTACCACAACCTGATCAGTTTGGTTTTTCGTACTTTGATCCGAGTGAATCCAAGTGACTTTATACTAATTAGTTACAATATTTCGTATTCCGTCGTCGGAGGTATTCTCATAATACTGAGCTTTTCCACTATTGAACGAAATATCCCTGGCCTACGCCTACCCTGGCGTTAAAGCCGTCAGCCACAACTTTAACATCACGACGTAGGCAGCGCTCGTAATCTTTTCACAGGCGCTCATATAATTTATCTTTGGTCTTATCGTACTCTTCCTTCATCGGGACATACACATGAATCAGGCCAGTGGTATTGAATTTATTCCTAACACGGTTTGTAATGATTCGTTCACTACTGGGAGTGAACTGGGAAGTTGGTCAAAAATTGATTGCATGATTTGCCCCTAGGAAACATACACAATCTGGCTATAGAATTGTTATATCATGTCAAGAGTTTAAGATATTCCAACGTAAAACATTCAGTTTTCTTTGTTGCCAGCAGCGATCTTCAATTTTAACTAGCAATAATCAACCAACCTGCGCGGTAGGTGGTCGATTCCTATCTGAATATGCTTGCCGTAGCTATTTCCTCCAGGCAACTACTTAAGAACGTGAATGCTCTAATTCCGCATTAAGGATAGTTCCGCAGAGAAAGCATACTCTTAATTAACTGTGAAGGAGGTAAGATTCATATCTGCGATCAATTCCAGTACCAGTGCGGGTATAAGGCTATAAACTCTGGCTGAAAAATAACTTTATCGCATATAAAATGGTCTTCCGTATCCACATGTTCGCTCGCTAGCACGACACGTCTGGCCTCAACGAAAAGGGCATTTGTCTTTGTATAAAAAAGGACTGTTTCTCAAGTTGAGAAAATGCTAGTTCTCAACTTCAACTCCAATGTAATTATTCTCCAATTGGTCCCAAACATATCATTGAAGTAGTAAAATACTTTACACCTATTTGATTGAAACGACATACATAGATGAATTTAAATATTAATTTTTCATTTTATTACTTTTTTTGTATTATGTAGTTAATCAATATCGTATTACAATAATTTACTTCACAGTATAAAGTCCGACAGTGATTTTGCCACTTGATTCACTTCGCGTTTTATTTTATTTCAAGAATATTTAAGGATACTTTGAAGATTATTTAATTTTTGTTGGTAATTTTCCTCTTACATAGCTTTATTTTTTCACTTGGTAATTAAAAATTCGTTTCTCCAACACTTTTTACGTATCTCCGCATCGGTTAGAGATGAGTTGGAGAAAGATGTTTGATATCAACTTGAAAACTATGAATTTCTTTAAGATTGGAGAAATATTTTTCTGGTGTTTATTGGGAATATAGGAGAAGATCTACTTAACCCTTCCAACTGGATAGACCACTACTTCTACATGCAATCGCGGTAATTAAGGGTCATTACCTGTTAGGGATGCATGCCAACCTTATCGGTCTACAATTGAATGAACATTATCCATCTTTTTGATCTACATGGGCGAAAACCCGTCGACATTCATTTCATCAGAATTTTCTTGAGTAGATATCTAGCTGAACAGAAAGACGAATGCCTAAACCGAATTAGTGGTAGGATCTCCCGCGGAGATTCGTTACTTTCTGCCTCGCATGGGAAGATTAGTCACATTGCAGTGAAGTTCTCGAACCCACCTGGAGCTCTGAGTTGTCTGAAAGATATGTTGCTTTGTCCGTATTGCGTATTAACATTTATTTCCATATTGTTATTGAGCTTTATACAACGATTATGTTTTTTTAGGAACAATGGAAAAAGAAGTCTGATGAGGAAATGTGGTTATACTTTGTTGCCTTTGCCATTTCTTCTAAAAAAAACATTATCGTCGCGCAAAGCTCAATTACAATATTGAAATAGAAATCTTGCTTTTTTGTTTCACTACCCAGGTGCCCTTCTTATGGTCGTTACTGTAATAGGAAGGTAGCCTTTCTCATAAATTAGTAAAATTTTGCTTCTCATCACGCAAGCACCTGATCACATACAAATTTCCTGGATATTTTAAACGTGTCGAACATATAATTTCAATTGCCACACAAACTAATAATTATGCTTTTTAATTACACACAATGACATGGTAATTTGGAAGCGTGCCCGCTTATCTAAATAAATATTAATTTCCCTATTTTAGCTTAGACTTTAATTATCTGAGCTGCCACCAAATGATAGCTCATTGTCTTTGCGTAATTCTCTCAATCAGTACATCCTCTTGAAACACTCGCAATGGACTCGAAAGTTAATTCCGCTGATATTTTCAGCTCATTATTCTTCTTTTGGCGTACTTTGGGCTTCACAACCACCTACAATAAGTATCTGATCGCTTTGTACGATGCATTTGTGACTACATTCGTCACTTTTGCCTTCCCTGCACATCTTCTTCTGGGCGCAGCTTTTGCGGAAAAGAAGGAAAATATATTCATCAACTTGGCCATTGGCATTTCCGCAATCGCTTGCACATTTAAGCATTTCTTGTTGCGTCCACAACTAACTCAAATTCTATTTGTGAATGATATGCTGCAGCAATTGGATGAGCGTGTCCAAAATGTTGAGGACATACGCTACTACGTTACGCACATACGCAGGAGATCAATTTTTATGATGCGCTTTTTTACTGTAGTGTACTTTTCAGTGGCAATCATGGCAGTGCTGTCTGCGTTGTGGTCTGGCAAGATTTTATATCCGGCATACGTTATCATCGACTGGCATAGTTCAACCGGGAAATATTTGCTGGTGATGCTGTTCCAAGTATACGGTTTGACTATGCAAATCATACAGAATCTTACCAACGATACCTATGGGCCAATGGTATTGTGTTTGCTCTCGGGGCATGTGCACCTGCTCGCCAGACGCGTGGCGCGTATAGGTCATGACATCGACGGCGACACCGTGGAGAACAGCTATAGGGCGCTAGTGCTTTGCATTGAGGACTACAAACTGCTAATGAGGTACTTGTATAATTTAATAATCTACATATTTATCATTTCAACTTCTGCTTTGTAGCACAACTAAGCAGGTGGAGCGCATCATCTCGTCCAGCTACATGGTGCAGTTTACCGCAGTTGGCATAAATGTTGTTGTAGGTCTCATCTATATGCTTTTCTTTGCTGATAACCTCTTCGCTTACGGCTATTATATTTTTCATATTTTGGCCATTATGATTGAGATTTTTCCCTGTTGCTATTATGGCAGTTTGGTGCAGGCGGAATTCCATGCCCTATCGTATGCTATCTTTCGCTGCAACTGGTTGACACAGCCGCGCGAATTTCGTCGTAATCTTATTACTTTTGTGGAGCTGTCATTGTATGAGGTCACCGTGTCGGCGGGAGGTATGATGAGAATACATTTGGACTCATTTTTTAAAACCTGTAAAATGGGCTACTCATTCTTCACGGTCATTCAAAGTATGAAATAAGAACCAATGTAAGCATGCAAAGACAGTTTGGATTCTAAAGCTTCATATAATTCTTTATTTTACTTTGTTCTAAATATGTAATTCATAGTAAAGTATACTGGTATGATTATATAATTCATTCATTCATTTTATTTAACCCGTAACTGTATGTTTTTAGGAGGCTTTATAATACTTAGTTACATTTGAGTTTACATGTTTGAGAGTTACATAATTATTCAAAAACATACTAAATTGCACTGCGTACAGACAGGCGTGGACAGGCGAACTTGATCAAAAATTTTACACATATAGAAGTTTCTCCTAAAAATAAGATATGCAGCTACACTTTCTTCGAGTGAGCGTAAAATTTTACAGTTTATGGAGGAAGAATGGGAGCTTATAATAGAAATAAATTGATTAATAAATTAATTAGCAAAAAAATATATGAATATTTATCAGTTTTGCGGGGATACCAAATTCAGTAGGCATGGGTAACACTGCGCTGCGCGGCGCAATTGCACTAACACCGTAGCCGGTGTTGCCGCGCCAACACCATTATATGAAAAGCAGTAGCGCCATAAACACCAGAAACACATGAGACACACACACAATCCGCCTTAATTCTTTGAAAAATTAACGGGTGATTTTTTTGAGGTTAGGATTTTCATGCATTAGTATTTGACAGATCACGTGGGATTTCAGACATGGTGTCAAAGAGAAAGATGCTCAGTATGCTTTGANAGATTTTGCAAACTTTATGCGTTTTTTTTAAAAAAAAAGTTATCAAGCTCTTAAAAAATCACCCGTTACTAATACCTTGTTTTTGCTTTTGAGTGGTGAAATTTATGCATCTTAGCAAATTTAAAGATTTTACTCAAGAATGATGAAAATATCATCGCAGTTATACTACATACATTCCTGGCAATTAAGCTCGGTTGGCGGTACAAGCGTTGCTCAGCGCTCAAAATTAAAGAAATGAGAGACATGACACCGCTGTATGGTGTATTACACTGTATGACGACGGGTACTGTGGTGACCCCCAAATGGCGCCGTGTTTAAATCAGCACACTGCGCTATTGCGCGAGTTAGTGCGCTGACACCACAGGCGGCGCCAGCGTTATTGAGCTTGCGCTATAAAAATTGCGTTATTACCCGTGGCTAAAATTCAGACGTCGACGCATATATGCATGCGTTTATCTGACAATATTCTGCATGACAGTTGATGCATGCACCTCATCAGCTACTCGCCGCTGTACTTGAATAGCTTAGCTGGCAGCCCGTCAGCTCCAGCACCTTTTTATACCCGAGTGCACATTTGCACAAGAGCATTACAACTTTGTTCTAGTAACGCTTGTTTGTAACAGGCAAAACGAATCCAGGTAGATATAGATATACACAAATGTATACATAAATGATCAGAATGAAAAGAGAAATCGATTAAGCGGTGACTGTCTGTCCGTCCGTCCATCCCTCTGTGAACACGATAACTCGAGTAAAAATGGAGATATCTTAATGAAAGTTGGTACGTGTACTTCTTTCGAGAGTAGCACGGATATATTTATATAAAGAAGGGTTAAGAGACGTTCAGGCGGACCGCAAGGCAAACAAGGCTCTTTCTTAGTATCGGTCTGCAGAGACTAGATCCGGCGCATATTATATTAATATGGAACTTCTTCTGTTAAGTAAATAGAAAATGTAGGATCCTCAATCTTTTTCTAGATTACACTGTAGGTACGCCAAAGCGACACTAAAAAACGCCGAGATACGTAAACTTAATTTTGGTTCGTAGATTACGGATCTGTATAACGTTTTTCTAGATCAGGTAATTTTCCCAAGATAGTTTCATTTTAATTTGCATTGCGAATGAAAAAATTCAAACTTTAACATGGAAAATGTTACTCATACGTCACCTACCAGTATGTATGAATTGGGCCATGTACGATATGGCGGATGAGTAATATTATTACCAGCTCATATTTCATTAAAAAAAAATATTGCATATTTTCATTTCACCATTCAAAACGATGGATAAATATCATCGATTTTCATCGTTAGTAACTTGCGAAAATAACTTGATATGGAAAAACGGTATACAGATCGTTTTTATACCCGAGCGCACCTGTGCACAAGGGTATATTAACTTTGTTCACATAACGGTTATTTGTAACAGCCAAAACGAATCAGATATGGACAAATGTATACATAAATGCTCTGAATGAAAAGAGAAATCGATTAAGCCATGTCTGTCTGTCCGTCCGTCCGTCCGTCTGGCCGTGTACACGATTCAATTTTATCATTAAGTCTTATTCTGCATATTATCGAAAACGTTTGAAATCGGGTAAACACGCCTACTTATCATGCAAAGGTAGTTCAGAGAAAGTTGAAACGACGATATTTAATACCTGTGCCGGCTATATAAAGTTCGGTTTCGCCCGAACTTATACTTCTTTACTTGTTTCGTATCATTTAAAAACTATTATTACTTATTAAATCAAAGTAAAATAAAAATATTTAATAATATTAATAGATTGGCGCTTATACGTACGTTAGTTTTAGTCACCTACAGTTTTACGCCGATTCCGAACGACAATTATATTTTTATGATAAGCTGTTTTTTTTCATGGCAGAAATACACTCGGGGTTGGCCATTGTCTGCCGAGCGGCGACCACTATTAGAAAAAATACCTTTTTTGGTTTTTTTATTTTTTGATGTTCGGTTGAACCGGGCTTGAACGCAGGCCCTGCGTAGTCGTAGTGCGCACTACACCACAGCGGCAGCCAAAAATAAAATTTCAAATATCCATATCGGGATCCTCAAATTTTGCAACAACAATTTTCAACAAATTGAGAACAACGGCGATTTTCCCATGATTTTCGATAACTCATTAAACAAAGAGGGCGTGAAACTATTTGCTAGCATACACTGAGAGAAATACATGCAGAGCGGTGACAACACACACATGCATACATAGTACATGCTTATCCCCAACAAACACTAGAACAACAACTTTCAAACGTTTGAGAAAATAATATTTCTCCATTCGATTTTCAACATTTTCTCAAATATTGGTTATCAATTTAAGAACGGTTTGAGAAATATTTGAAAAAAATTGTTTAGCATTCCGTTCCGTTCCATCGGTGTCAACATGGCACAGATGTCGAAGTCCAGCGGTAGTCTGCTGCATGGGTCGCAAAATGGCTCTTCGACCAGTCGGTCGCTGTTTTCCGCAGTTTGTCCAATTTCAAGAAAAACTATGCAATCAATTTTTTACATCAACCGCAGGTTTCTTTGTTAAACTAACTGAATAAATAAGCTGTTCAATCAACTGTTAAACTGCATAAATAAAAATTTCATTGAGAGTAGCTGAATGCCATTTCGTTCAGCTCCACTCGCGCTTGAGAAAAAAGTTGAGAATTCAACATTTCTCAGTTTTAAAATAGAGGAAAATTCAATGGTTATTTGAGATGCATTTAAGAACTAACGTTTGAGATTTGAGAAAAGGACTGATTCTCAAATGCATCTCAAATTGAGATTTAAAAAGTTATTTATTGGATCGATAAAAATCGCGTGCTGTGGTGTCGCTGGCTGTAGCTGAGTGCGCAAAGATACATGCCACAATTTGTTGATATCCAGAGAGGGTACGGGTTCGAATTCCACTGCAGGCGACCTGCAAATTAAATACTTTTTTTTTCTTTTTATCTTGATTATTCACTTCACGGATGCTTTTTCAGAACGAACGCGATCAATATGTGAGTGATTTAATAGAATATTTACCAGTACTTTCATTGACATTTATAGTAAGATCAGTTACGTTTCTGATTGATTTTATTATTTTTTCCCTACAGTGTAGGTTGCAAATATTAACAAATTTCTCGGCATGCTCCCTTGTTAATTATTCAGAGCCTACGCCAGCAAATGAGCGATTTTTTCTTATGGTACTAATAACGCTTTAATGGCCTTTCCTGTAACATATAAACCACTAATGGATGCAACACTTGCTTACTAAGTTACTTGCGTTCGCGTTGGCCACATATTGCATCAAAATGATACCCCGTAAAATTGATACAATGGCAATTTTCCAGCGACTTTTTACTACATGGCGTGTGTTGGGCATCATCTTGTGGCCTTTCAACAAATATTTGCGTATTATCTACGATTTTCTTATGAACTTTTTCGTCACTTTTGCCTTTCCGATGCATCTGGTGTTGGGCATAATTTTTAGCACCAATCAGGAGCAATTCTTCACCAACCTGGTAATCGGTATTGCATGCGTCTCGTGCACCTTCAAGCATTTGTTGCTGCGATTGCATCTAAGTGAAATGATTGAGGTGAACGACATATTTTCGCAGTTGGATGATCGCGTTCTCATCGCCACCGATTATGAATATTACAAGCGTTTTATGGAGCAGCCTTGTAACTTTATGATAAACTTCTTTACACGCTGCTACTTTGCGGTCAGCATAACGGCATTGCTCACAGCCTTGGTCACTGGTGAACTACTCTATCCCGCCTTTGTGCCGCTAAATTGGCAAACATCGACTTTTAATTACATTATGGCCATACTGTTTCAATTTGTTTGTGTTTCGTTGCAAATCGTACAAAATATAGCCAACGATGCATATGGCCCGGTGGTACTTTGTTTGATCTCTGGACATGTGCACCTGCTGGCGAATCGGGTATCGCGTGTCGGTCACAGCAGCGAGGAGAACAGCGAACAAAACTACAAGCAATTATCCATTTGCATCGAGGACCATAAGTTGCTGATGAGGTAAGGGGCCACTAGAGCCCCCCCCCCCCAAAAAAAATTAATGTCACGTGAAAGTATTGAGCAATCATTTACCGAATAAAATTTCTATTTCTGTCACAGCACCTCCAAAAAAGTGGAGCGCATTGTCTCAGCCAGCTATTTGGTACAATTTCTTGGTGTTGGCATTAATCTTTGTGTTGGCCTCGTTTATTTGCTCTTCTTCGCCGATAACTACTTTGCCTACGTCTATTATACTCTTCACATAACAGCCATTATGATTGAACTCTTTCCGTGCTGCTACTATGGCAGCATGCTGGAGTGCGAATTTCACGATTTGTCCTATGCAATATTCAGCAGCAACTGGCCAACTCAGCCACGCCCATTTCGACGTAATGTGGTTAATTTTACTGAGCTTACGCTAAGAGAGGTGAGCTTGTATGCTGGAGGCATGGTGCGCATCAACTTGGATTCATTTTTTGCTACTTGCAAAATGGGATATTCGTTCTTTACCGTCATACAGAGCATGAAGTAAAAAGATATGGAGAAAATATTGGATCAAGGAAAAAGGAGAAAGAACTAAAAAAGCTATCAATATTAGAGAAAAATATTAGTCTTATTAGCTGTGTAGTTGCACATACTAGTGAGCTACGAACAATTAAATAAAAAGCTTAGCACCTCAAAATCAGCCCTTTTTTTATTGACCTAGTTACTAGCAAGTGTCTCCGATACTTATATTGAAAATTGACGCTTAGTCAAATTCCTTTTGATGTGTATACATCTTTAGTTCCGGTAGGGGTAAAGTTTGCGAAGCTGTAACGCATAGCCCAGCAGAAAATTGCGAAGGGCTTAACATGTGTATTGCAGCAGAAAGTTTTTAATTTCATTGGAGGCACCCTGTGTCTACTAGCTATTGCTAATGGTTGCATACATTTAGGCATATGCAGGGTAAGAGAAAATGCGCTCAAAAAAGTATTGCTTCCGATTATGCAAACTTTGCGCATGCATGGGGTATTGTACATATAAGTGTACATACTTAAGTTTGTGTGTGCACACATATGTATGAACTCAGTTGTTGCAGGTGGTTTTGATATTCGTAGCATGGTTTTAGGCATAGGGTTAGTAGTCTATTGATAAAAAAGCAGAGCGAAAATTAAAAAAAAAATATTGAAGTCATTTTAACTGGGACCGTTGACAACTGATGAACATACATGAATATATGTACATATATACACATACGTATGGATGATATAATAGCTCTGACCTAATACTTTCGTGTAAAATCCTGTGAAAATGTCAAACAGAACAAAAAAAGCAACGGGGAAAACACTTGCACCTTCATTCTCTACACAACTCTCCAAAAATCGCTCTCAATTACATGATTTTGGAGTACGGGATCATTTTTCCTGTAACTTTAGGCAAGTTCCTGTAAAAACGTGTAAGTTCATTGAGTACTGTAGCAGGGCTATTACAAGATTGCACAAAGAGAAACGAGAGTAAGAAGAAATGCCAAACAAATGAATTTAGCTTCCCATTTTGCAAACAAAAGATGGTATGTTATATGTATTCATGACTTTAACGTAAAACTAGCGACAGATAAAGCAGAACCCCAGATCATATTCCTAAAAGAAAAACTAAATTTGGGAATATATACATAGAGAAATGCTCAAACTACAAGCTCAGAAACAGTAATTGATGTGATTTCAAGATATTTTAACGCCCTTGATTCACAAGTACTATATACAAGTATCATATTTTATCAGTCATACTGATAATTTCATGTATTAAAAGAATTAAAAATCAAAATGAATAAAAAATAAATAAATCAGCAAAATGAATAAAATTTAGTGAAATTAATGTTTAGTTTCTAACCTAACCTAGATGTGTACGTATGTAACTGAATCGCCTAATAAGAGGTTTACATATAAAAAGATTATCCTCATTTTTCAGCTTAACTCCCTTATCTGTAATTAGAAAAAGTGATTAGCCATACAAAATTATAATTATAAAATAACCTCAGATTAAATCGATAACTTTTTGGTGTCCAACCTAGTTTAATCGATTATAACGGGTGATTTTTTTGAGGTTAGGATTTTCATGCATTAGTATTTGACAGATCACGTGGGATTTCAGACATGGTGTCAAAGAGAAAGATGCTCAGTATGCTTTGACATTTCATCATGAATAGACTTACTAACGAGCAACGCTTGCAAATCATTGAATTTTATTACCAAAATCAGTGTTCGGTTCGCTTTACGTCCGATTTATGGTCTACATAATCGACCAAGTGAGCAAACAATTAATGCGATTGTGACCAAGTTTCGCACTCAGTTTACTTTATTGGACATTAAACCAACCACACGAATGCGTACAGTGCGTACAGAAGAGAATATTGCGTCTGTTTCTGAGAGTGTTGCTGAAGACCGTGAAATGTCGATTCGTCGCCGTTCGCAGCAATTGGGTTTGCGAAACACATTTCGAACCGAACACTGATTTTGGTAATAAAATTCAATGATTTGCAAGCGTTGCTCGTTAGTAAGTCTATTCATGATGAAATGTCAAAGCATACTGAGCATCTTTCTCTTTGACACCATGTCTGAAATCCCACGTGATCTGTCAAATACTAATGCATGAAAATCCTAACCTCAAAAAAATCACCCGTTATTTGCGAAGAAGGGGAGGAATGTCAAATGTAAAAGTAAACAAAAATTTACGCTAGCAAGGAAAAGAGGTTTGTAAAAGTATTTTTAATAAAATATTAAGTTAAAATATACATATTTAAATACCATAATATGTATAGCAGTAAAAGGGGCTATGGTCGCGCAGAGAAGAAGCTTAACTTTTCCTCGACTTGTGAGAATAACAAGCACAACCAATTTGACAGCTAACTAGCTTCGTTTGACATTATGTGCATTTATATGTAAACGTACTTTTATTCTTTGCCGTACGCATATGTTTAGACATCAAATAAAAACAAGTAAAAAAGTCAAAGTTCGGACGCAGCTGAATATTCAATACCCGGCGCAAGTATTAAATATAGTTTTTTGAGCTTTCCGAAAAGTACCGCTACACGGTGCTTTTATCCCTATTTCACTCAGCTTCGCTAGTATGTTCGGTTAAACTTAATGAGATAAACTTATATAGTGATGAGTGGGCGGTATCACGCCCATTCTCCAAAATTCCATAAAGACGATCAAGAAAACATTTTTAAGTAGTATAGTCAAAAGTATTATTCTTGCAAAAATTTTCTTTTCATGAAAAGTTTAATAACTCAGTAAAATTTCGTCCGATTTTTGAAAATAAACACTCGTTTTTTTGTTATTAAATTTAGTTTTACAATCAATTTAGAACTGATAGGTTTTCTAATAAAATAATGCGTAAAAACCTCATCAAAATTGAAACAAGGCGAAAAAAGTGAAAAAAATGTGTTTGCTGGGTAAATAGATCTCTCAAGGGTTTGTTGTTCGCATATCTATCGTTCAAAAGGCCCAAGTTGCTTCTTTTTAATCTCGGCAATAAACTGAAACTCGGTTCATAATCAACTAAGTTACAGACTTATAAGTACGAAAAACCAGTTTTTAACGGTAAATCAAGATTTTGGGGTTGTTTGGCAAATTTCATATTTCGATTCTTGTTTTACTCGACCAAAAAGTATACATAACTTCCTAGGTATTTTTTTTTACGTAGAATACGTCTTACCTTAAGGTATGGGGGCTATGT